AGACGTAGCTTATGATGTGTTTTTTTTAAATTTCATTAGTTTTACAGAGATTAATTTATTTTAAGTTAGTTAAAAAAAATTTGTGAAAAATAAAAACAAAAAATTGCGTGTTTTTACTTAAAAATTCATAAGTTATTTAAATTTTAATATTATGACTTAAAAATTTAAGGTATAGTAATTTAAGGTATTTTAAGAATTTATTAATCTTTAAGGAAAAAAATACTACAACAGCAGGACTTGCAAAAAAGGAATTTATTTTGCAGAATAAAATGTGAATTTTTAGGTTAAAATTAAAAAATATTTACAATTAAAAATTAAAATTATTAAAAAATGATGTTTAAAAAGTGTCATTTTTAAACGAAAATGAAAACAAAGATGGCGGCGCATACACAATCGTTGCTTAAGTGTGTCAGTGCTCCAGTAAACAGCGCCAATTCGAGCAAGTGGCCGCTGAATGAACTATGATAAAACACATTATTTTACTATTTATTGCTTTATTTTTGCGTTAAGTTATAGTAAATGAGAAGAACAGCGAGATTCCTTACGCCAAACAAAATCATTTTTCCAAAATTTTAACCAGAAATCATTTTTTATTTCAGAGAAAGAGCGAAACCACAAAAAACGTCCTTTGCCCACATACCCTTAAGGGTGTATGGAACGCTGAAATTCCAACCTTTTGAAATTAAGGCTGTTTAAGATAGTCAATTTTTTTCTGACAATATTAGGTATTTGAAACTGTAATGTATTATGGGAAATTGAAAAACAATTAATTCATTAATAATTTTTTAAATAAAATTCGAAATTTTCAAAAACTAAAAATTTAAACTTCTGTTGTAATTTTTATTATTTTTCATTGTTGATTTTTTAATACCCTTTTTTCATGATATTCTAAACAATCAATCGTATGAATTTTTAAAAATTTTTATATTTTCAAAAAATAAAATTTCTAAAATGGTACATACAAAAAAATTTTTTTTTTTCATTTTTTATAATTCACAATAAATTTTAGATTCCAAATAATACCAGAAAAAAAATTGACACCCCCTTAACCCTCTAATGAATAATGCCGAGGGTGTTTAGAAGTTATCAAAAAATTTTTTCAAGGCTTTAGTTTATCTAATTTATGCTTCGGATTTGGAGGAAAATTGTTGAAATTGAAAAAAACGTTAAATTCACTGTTTTTTGTTATTGGACTTGAAAATGCCATCAGGACTTTATATATTATATAAATTATTTCAAATAAAATCAAACAAAGTTACTGAACACAAATTTAATTTGAAATATTATCAATATAAAATATATGTAATTATTTTACCATAAAAACTATTAACACTTACTTTCTTTTAAAAAATTATCGCATCAAACTTAAAAAATTCACTTAATCTTGAAATTTATTGACAATTATAATATTTTTAATGTTTAAACAATTGAATAACGATTTTCTATGGTACAGAAACACTCTTCTTTACCTACTGAAACCTACTGTAAGTATTAAATATTTGTTTCTGCAGTAAAATTGTTTTTAAAAATTGTTAAATCTATGGGACGCCCAAGTCCCACCCGTACCTAGAGGGTTAACATAATTTCGATAAGTTGAATTTACGAATTTTACCAATTTTAAAATTTTACCATTTCCTTCCCTTAATTTGTGGTTAATTTAACAGCTATATTAATATCAAGTAAATTTTTCAAAAATTCGAAATGACAAGTACAATATATATATCAACTCATAGCGTAATTTTTTTTAATTCGATTCGGGATATTTTTCACATTATTAGATTTTTCGAAATTTTTGTGTGGCGTCGAATTAAAAATTATCTAATTTTTATTGAGCACAATTTCTATTTATCAGCAAACATTCGCTTGACAAAATTTTTATTAACTGAATTCTGATTTAATTTCTTTATATCATAATTCTTATTTAAGGCCAGGTCCAAGTGAGGCAGCGCCATCTACATTGAAACTAAAATTTTGGAAAATTTTCAGCAGCCTTTTCTTGAAAACAAGAAGGTAAAATCCTTTTTCCTTTATGGATAATTGATTATTGGCAAGATATACACCAGCTAAAACTTTTTTTGAGTTAAAATAATAAAAAAAATTTCATGTCAATAAATTAAATATGAGCACTTTTTTCACAAAAACTGTAACAGTACTTTCTCAGAAATTACAATCAAAAATGCAATTTCCATTTGGAAAATTAATAAACGCTAAAAAATACACGACCTAAGATTTACCAATCACGAAAATAACAAAAAAAAAAGTATTTTAACATAACATATTTTATTCATTATGACAGCCTTTTGGCAGGTTATATATGTCACCAGACGTTTCGCAGTTTTGCCGAAAGGAGGAGATTGGCGCTGTTGCTAACCACCTGAAATACATAATCTACCAAAGGGCTGTCACAATCAGTAAAGCAGTATTAATATGTTAAATATTTAATAAAATTTTTTTTGTTATTTTCGTGATTGGTAAATCTTAGGTCGCGTATTTTTTAGCGTTTATTAATTTTCCAAATGGAAATTGCATTTTTGATTGTAATTTCTAAGAAAGTACTGTTACAGTTTTTGTGAAAAAAGTGCTCATATTGAATTTATTGACATGAAATTTTTTTTATTATTTTAACTCAAAAAAAATTTTAGCTGGTGTACATCTTGCTCATAATCAATTATCCATAAAGAAAAAAGCATTTTACCTTCTTGTTTTCAAGAAAAGGCTGTTGAAAATTTTCCAAAATTTTAGTTTCAATGTAGATAGTGCTGCCTCACTTGGACCTGGCCTTAACGATAATTTTATTCAAAAAAATTTATAGGGGAGACCGGGGTTACTTGGCGCACTTTTTACTCTTTTTTGTGTAACTCACTCATTTTTGCTTTTTTTTTTAAAAAGTCAATGTTTAGAAAACTTGTTGTAACATATCAGCTTTATTTAAAAGAAAAGAAAGTTGAAATATATTTGATACTTATATTTTTATACCACTTTATTTGAAGCTGTGCAAAGCGCGCCAAGAAACCCCGGCACGGGGTATTGCGTGGCGCAGCAGTGAAATTAATTAAATTATATGATTTAAAGTTTAAATAATATAAGACTTAACAAAATAAGTCATGTACTGTAATTTTACAATAAAATTATTATAAATAAAAAAATTAGAAAATTTCATTTAAATTAAATGAAATTTGATTTAAATGAAATCGTAAAATTACCAAAAAATATATTTTTTTTTTTTATAATAACGCTGTGAATATTTAAAAACCATTATTCAGTTAAGTTTTTCGAATAGGATTGTTATTGGTGCTTATTAATGTGTAAATTTCATATATAATCAACTTCATTTTATTAATATTTAACGAAATTTTCAGATAACCGCGCCACCTAACCCCGAATGTACTTTTGAAATATTTATTAATTTTTTATAAAAACTGTTAATATAAATGAAAAATTTTTTTTTGTTTCTTAATAACAAATGTATAGAGCTCAAAACTTAATATTTGAGCTCTTCGAAAATTAATTTTTTAAAGAGATATCACAAAAAAATGAAGAGGTTAAAAAATTACTTTGGAGTGCCAAAATAAGTGAAATGAAAATGAAAATGAAAAAAAAATGAAATGAAATGAAAATTTCATTAATGAAATTTTGTACAAACTTACAGTTGATCAAGTACTTTAAGCAGAATAAAGAGAAAAATTAATGTAACTTAACACTTTTGAATAAACTCAAGTGCGCCAAGCAACCCCTGCGCCAAACAGCCCCGGTCTTCCCTATTCGATCTAATTTTTATTTAACAGAATTGTCATTTAACAATTTCCTTAATAATTTTTTTATGGGTGAATTTTAAGAAGCGTACATATGTATTTCTCATAAAAATCATTCATTAAAATTTTTATTTTAAAATATTTTATTGGAAATAATTATTTTTTTAAAGCTAATTTTCATTTTTTCAATTAGCATTTGACAGAATTTCTTTTTATACGAATTTTTTACTTAACAAAATTTGTAGCTACAGATTTTTTGTTTTGGAAGAATTTTTCATTTTTAGTCATTTAATTCACTCTTTAAGGGAACATACCAGTTCAAAATGGGGAAAAAGAATGCTTTTTTAGGATGTATTTCTAAAAAAAAAAACCATGACATTTATTTAGAAATTCTTGTTTAAATGTTATAAATAACTTATTGAAGAAAGTGAAAAAAAATTTTTTTTTTACATTTATTTCAAGATGGCGGCGATGTACAACATTTTCAAAAATGTTTATTTTTCATGGGGGGATCAATTCCGAGATTTCTAGAACAGATTGAAACATAAAATAAAAAACATTTTCTTCGTTAGATATTTCTCTATGGATGGAACCTCAAAAAAGTGGAATTTTCGTCCCCTTCTTTTTTTAGGGTACTTTTTTTTCAAAACTTAAATAAAAAAACACATGTTTTTATTCAGAATTTCTGTTATAGAAAAGAAGGGAAAAAGGTATTTTCCCGTTTTTGAGGTTTCGTCCATAGAGAAATATCTAACGAAGAAAATATTTTTTATTTTATGTCTATCTGTTGTAGAAATCTCAGAATCGATCCCCCCATGAAAAAATGACCATTTTTTGAAAATGTTGTACATTCCCGCCATCTTGGACTACAAGTGAAAAAAAATTTTTTTTTTTCATATTCTTCAATAAGTTATTTATAACATGTAAACAAAAATTTCTGAATAAATTTCATGGTTTTTTTTTTTAGAAATACCTCCTTAAAAAGCCTTCTTTTTTACCATTTTGAACTGGAATGTCCCCTTAATATATTTTCGAGTCTTTATTCCATTGATATGAAATATTTAAAATCAAAAAATATTGTAGATTATTTTGTCAAAATTTGCTGTATGTTCTTTGAAAAACAAAAAATTATTTTATCACGAAAAGACTATAACATTTTTAGCAAGGTTGTTATTTTTTATCAAAAAAAAAAAAAAAAATGTATATTATCAAAAAACTATTAAAACGGGTCTAGTATAAATATCAGTGCAACTAAACGGAATTTAGTAGCAAAAAAAATAGAACGCATTTAAGAATAAAATTAAATTTTTATTTCACAAATTTTTTTCCATATTAAAGAAAAATCTTTGATTTTATATTAAAAAAAAAAAAAAATAAATAAGTAATTGAAACATCCAATATGAAACTTACCGTTTCGATAATTTTATTCGTTATATGTGTTATAACTAATTATCAATCGATTTCTGCCAAACCGCATTGGTATAACAGTAAAAAAGAAGCTGCTAGTAAAATTTTATTTTTTATTACTTACCATACATTATAAATATTATTATTACCCTGGCGGATTCGATTTGCGTAATGTCTACTTAACTAAGCGGACTTTAGGTAGACATTAGGTAGACATGTAAAAAAACGTATAAAAAAGCTATTAATCGACTTATTATGATAAAAAAAAGTTGATAAAAGGGTAAATGAATGTTTATAGAGTAAATTCGTACAAAATTTGTAATTAATAAAGCAATAAATAATTAATAATGAATGGAAATGTGCGCGAGGTACCTGATCAGTTCAGCTGTACAATTATTTTCGTGCTATTTTCATGAAAAGAATATAAATTAACTGCAAAAACAACTGATATTTATAAAAAAGTGTAAAATTGATTTAATTTGAGTGTTTGCAATACGAATTATTAAATAATAATTAAGTTTTTATCAAATGTGAATAGTGTTGTGAAAACCAGTGAAAACTAATGAGTTACTACATTACCGATCGCATATGATAATAAAAAGTTCTCGATGAGTGTAAAAAAAAAGCTGCAATCATGTCCGTAATTTTGGACGAGAAACAATTATGAAATCAATAATTATTTGTATAACTTTATTCTGCATTTTAAAATTCACTTTTTATTTTCTTTCAAAGCAAAAGCTTGGAAGAAAACATGCTCGCACTGTATTGTAAAAACTGGTGGCGCCATCTCTCATATGCGATCGGTAATGTAGTAACTCATTAGTTTTCACTGGTTTTCACAACACTATTCACATTTGATAAAAACTTAATTATTATTTAATAATTCGTATTGCAAACAATAAAATTAAATCAATTTTACACTTTTTTATAAATATCAATTGTTTTTGCCGTTAATTTATATTCTTTTCATGAAAATAGCACGAAAATAATTGTACAGCTGAACTGATCAGGTACCTCGCGCACATTTCAATTCATTATTAATTATTTATTGCTTTATTAATTACAAATTTTGTACGAATTTACTCTATAAACATTCATTTACCCTTTTATCAACTTTTTTTTATCATAATAAGTCGATTAATAGCTTTTTTATACGTTTTTTTACATGTCTACCTAATGTCTACCTAAAGTCCGCTTAGTTAAATAGACATTACGCAAATCGAATCCGCCAGGGTATAAATAAATTATAAACCTAGCTTAATTTTTGTGATTTCTATTATTTTACAAAAGAATTTTTATCTCTTTTTACTAAATTAAAATTAAAAGTATAGAATAAAATAACATTATTATTTTAGATCATTGCATTCTTAAGAAGAAGACCATATCCAATTCAAAATTCGTTCATGAATCCGAAGAAAATGTTTTTGGATGTAGAACTGACAATCAAGTTACGTTTAAACACTATTGTCGTGCTCTTGGTAACAATAATTTTATTAAAATAATTTTATACTATAATAATAATAAATAATTTATTAATATTACATTATAATTCTACTATTTTTCAATTTACAGAAAAATGTGTTGGAAAAATTAAAGGAATTGATAAATACTACTGCCGAAAATTTGATACATATTCTCCGGAAAGTTATGTATTCTAATTTCTAGTTTATATTTTATTGTATTTATATGCAGCACTATAATTATGTAAACTGTTTGAGCGTTCAATTTCGCTTTGAATAAATAAATAAATAAATTATATGATTATATCAATTTATTTACAATGATATATTCAGAAAATTTTTCCCAAATCATTTAATCATTTAATTAACTAACAATATTAGTTATTATTTTCAATAGTGTAGAATTGACTACGATCCACTCTGAGTCGAAATTAAATTTAATGGAAATTAAAAGAAGTAAAAGTGTTTATTACATTTTTTTTTTTATTTTATTTTAAAAAAATATTGGTCAATGTCCATCGATCATATACTATGACAATCTCTAAAATAAGAATACTATTTTAATCTAAATTTGTAATTTATTAATCAAATGGGATATAAACTCTTTCAAAAATTTTAATAATTTTTTGTATCTTCAACTAGTCAATTTTCTGTATTCGAGGTATACAAATTATTGAAACAACTATTTGATAATGTTTTAGATTTGGGATCTTATAAGTTTAAAAATATGAAATAATTATTGATCGGTTATTTAACCCTCAACCAGTTCAATTCGAACGTAAATAGTACAACGTTAGACGTATATATTCAAACGTGTATTGTACAGCCGGTATTGAATAATTTTGCACAAAAATTTAATCTGTGGTAGCTTATAATGTGTTTTTTTAAAAATATAATTAGTTTTGCAGGGATTAATTTATTTTAAGCCCAATTTTAATTTCTAAAATGTAATAAAGCAGATTTTCGAATATATCTAATTTTCAAATAATACAATTTGAATTTAAGAGCATTTGAACCTTCGTGACGTCACAAATCATGGCGCATGACACGCAAACTTCTCAGGTATGTGAAAAGCACAATTTTGAATATTTTTTAAAAAAACCTTTTGGAAAATATTCAGAATAACACAGACTCTGTCTGTTATGTGCGAAAAATTCAAAATTTTGCGTTTAAAACGTTTTTTAAACAATGCCTACATATAAGCAATTCGTGTATTTTTCCTTACTTGTGACAACCAACTTAAACATTGTTTAAAAAACGTTTTATACGCAAAATTTTGAATTTTTCGCACATAACAGACATAGTCTATGTTTCTCTGAACATTTTCCAAAAGGTTTTTTTAAAAAATATTCAAAATTGGGTTTTTCACATACCTGAGAAGTTTGCGTGTCATGCGCCATGATTTGTGACCTTAACATTGTTTAAAAAACGTTTTAAACGCAAAATTTTGAATTTTCCGCACATAACAGACAGAGTCTATGTTATTCTGAACATTTTCCAAAAGGTTTTTTTAAAAAATATTCAAAATTGTGCTTTTCACATACCTGAGAAGTTTGCGTGTCATGCGCCATGATTTGTGACGTCACGAAGGTTCAAATGCTCTTAACAACATTTATACCTAGAAAAATTTTCATAAAAAAGAATTTTTATTCAACAGAATTGTTTTTTTTATCGAATTTCTATTTATCTGAATATTCACTTAAAAGTATTTTTATTAACAAAATTTCCAATTAAAAGAATTTCTATAGGGTCAGTTGGAGTAAATAGGGACAAGAGGTTTTGGAGCTTAATTTACAGTTTTAAAATGAAGTTCAACGTAAATATTTTAACCTCAGATCACTTGTACATAAAACGTTTTTTAATTATTAATTCTTTAAAATTAAATTTTTGTTTGTACATTTATTTCATTAACCCTTTACTGGCAAAATTAGAACGTAAATGGCACAACGGGTTTGCTGGACCCGACCTATTCAAACGTGTAGGGGAGAACGGGGTTACTTGGCGCACTTTTTACTCTTTGTTGTGTAACTCACTCATTTTTGCTTTTTTTAAAAAGTTAATGTATAGAAAACTTTTTGTAACATATCAGCTTTAATTAAAAAAAGAAAGTTGAAATATATTTAATCCCTAATAACACAAGAAATTTTCAGATAACCGCGCCACCTAACCCCGAATGTACTTTTGAAATATTTATTAATTTTTTATAAAAACTGTTAATATAAATCAAAAATTTTTTTTTGTTTCTTAATAAAAAATGTATAGAGCTCAAAACATAATATTTGAGCTCTTCTAAAATTAATTTTTTAAAGAGATATCACAAAAAAATAAAGAAGTTAAAAAATTACTTTGGAGTGCCAAAATCAGTTAATTTAATCTATACTCCACAATAATTAATGAATATTAATGAAATTTTGTACAAACTTACAGTTCATCAAGTACTTTAAGCAGAATAAAGAGAAAAATTAATGTAACTTAACACTTCTGAATAAACTCAAGTGCGCCAAGCCGGTATTGAATATTTTTGCACAAAAATTTAATCTGAGATAGCTTCTTATGTTTTTTTTAATGTATTCAGTTTTACAGTAATTAATTTAATTTAAGATAGATAAAAAAAATTGTGAAAAATTAAAACGAAAAATTGCGTGTTTTTACTTAGAAAATTCATGAGCTATTTAAAATTTAAAATTATGACTTAAAAATTTATGGTTATACTATTATTCTTTAAGGAAAAATTACCACAACAGCAGGATTTACAAAAAGATATTTCGATATTTGAAACTAAATTTTTATTCAAAATTTCACATATTTATACACATAATAATGTTTACTTGAAGTCGTTCTATAATAAAAAGTCATTATTACAAAAATTTATATTTTAAATTGATTCTAAAGATAATGCATGTAAAAAGCATTGTAAAATGAAAATATTTTAATTTCATATTACAATAAAGGGCAAGAAACTTTCTTGAGCTCTGGAGGACCTGAACATTTCTGTTTGTACAGGACTTCGACGATACAATCTTCGGATTCCCCGCAGTTAGTTCTCTGTTCCTTACATTCTTCTTTCAATCTTTCTCCAAAACTAACATGTATTTTATAATGTGCACTGTAAAAATAAGTATTTTAGTTTCACATGTTTTGATAATCATTTTTTACAGTCATTATGAAAATTTATATAGTATTTTAATGAGTAATTTATGCATTTTACATTTTAGTAACTGAAAATTTTCATATCTTATTATTTAATTATCTTTTGACGTCACAAAACATCTTAATCCAAGATTTTTTCTTTTTATTAAAATCTTTCTTTTGTATAATAATTATAAAATGAAAACGCCTCAAACGTTTTTTTTTTCTAATTGTACATTTTGTAGTTTTTATTGTACAAAACGAGGTTTTAACAGAAAGCAAATTTATCAACGGATTCTGCTTCTATTTTAAAATAAATACAAAGAAAGTTACCTATTTATGTTGTTATGGGCATACTGATAAGCGCGATGAATGCTGATTAGAACTGGTTTATAGGGCTTGTTTAGATTCTTGGAATATTCCTCCAAACCAAGTTGTGCAGATTCCATAATATCATTTCCAAACAGCTCAACTTGAGCTATAGGAAGCTGAAACACAAAGTTATGGGATGCATGATTAGGTTTTAAAAATCATTTGTTAGAATTTTCATTTTATGCAATTTCATTTGTCATAATTAGATTTGACCCGAATTGTTATTTGTTCAAATTAGTATTTTAGAGAATTTTCATAAAAACGATTTTCTATATTACAGAATTTTTATTTATTCGCATTTTTATTTGCTAAAATTCTCATTTAACGTGATAGGCAATCACAGAAAATTATAAGGCATTAAAATAAGCTGCAACGGTTATTATTTTAATCCAATTTGGTATTAAAATAAGCAAAATTGGATTAAAATAATAAGCGTTGCAGCTTATTTTAATACCTTATAATTTTCTGTGATTTAAAGAATTTTATTGCATAGAATTTTCTTTCAGATGAATTTTCATTTGTTCGAACTATTATTTGATTGAATTTCCATATAACCGATTTTTCACAATACAAAATTTTTATTTAACCGAAAAATCATTTAACAAAATTTCTAATTGATAGAATTTTCATTTGTCCGAAATTGCAAATGGCCAAACAAATAATCGACAGAAAGATATCGACGCGATTTTTAAGAGGCGCATGATTAAACCCCAAATTTGTTTTTTCAAATTTTTATTTTCTTGAAAATCGTTTTATCGAAAAGGAATTGACTATCATTTTTTGAATTCGAATCGTCAGATTATATAATAAAAATAGTTTCGAATTATTAGTTGACAGAATTTTTTAACTTCGAAAGAACATTTTTTACAATTTTCAATTTACCGAATAATCATTTCTAATAATTATTATTGTAGAGAATTAGTATTTTTCATAATTTTTATTTTTTCAAAAACCTGTTTATACTATTTTTGATTTTACAAAATTACCATTTTTTATCATTTTTTTTTGTTCGAATTACCATTTTGTATAATAAATATTTTTTCAAACAATTATTTGTTCTAAAATGTAATTTATCAAATTTATATTTTTTCTATTTTTCACAGTTACGATTTGCTATTTTATATAATTTTTATTTTACCAAATTGTCATTTCACATAATTTCTAAATTTTCTAATTATTATTTTTGCGAATTTTAATTTTAACTAATTATTAATATTAGAATTATTTCTTTTGCGAATTACCATTTAACATAATTTTTATTTCCCCTAATATTTATTTATTCTAATCTCCATTTTCTGGAATCGTTATATGCCTTAATCAGAATTTTACCGAAACTCCATTTGCCCTAACATACTTCCGGTCAATTCTGGAATTTATTCTCGCCAGGCCATCTCTTGTGTCGGTATGGTTGGGTGTTTTACAGGAAGTGGCGCAAAAATTCCAGAAATTAATGTAGATGGGAAACTACAGTACTGAAATTGACCGAAAGTATATAACGATTCGAGAAAATGGAGATTAGAAGAAATAAATATTAGGGGAAATTAAAATTATGTTAAATGGTAATTCACAAAAGAAATAATTCTAATATTAATAATTCGTTAAAATAAAAATTCAGAAAAATAATAATTAGAAAATTTAGAAATTATGTAAAATGGCAAATCGGTAAAATGAAAATTAGATAAAATAGCAAATCGTAACTTTGAAAAATAGAAAAAATATAAATTTGATAAATTACATTTTAGAACAAATATTTGTTTGAAAAAATATTTATTATACAAAATGGTAATTCGAAGAAAAAAAAATTATAAAAAATGGTAATTATGTAAAATCAAAAATAGTAGAAACAGGTTTTTGGAAAAATAAAAATTATGAAATTTCCTAAAATGAAAATTGTAACTAATGTTTTTTAGAATATAATCATGCGTCCCAAAGTTATGCAGCTGCTGGCAAAAATTAAAATAACAATGCCCTCGTTTAAAATTAGTCTTGTTCGGTTTATGGATATTCTAAATATGTGTTCAGATATAATATGTAAATTGTATTACATATAGATGAAAACTTACCTCATTTTTATCTACTCCAACTTCAATAGCACTGCAGTAGTTTTGTAAAGGACATACTACCTCTAATGTCCTAGAAACTATAACAGTACACTTTTCAGACTCCCCATTCTGTTTTAAAACGCAATTAATTTTCTGTCCTTTAGTACAATTGCTTTCTCCAAATTCTACGTTTACTTTGTATCCTAAGTAATATTGTTGAGTGCCATTAATAATCCTTTTAATAACTGGTTCATAGGATTTTTTTAGATTCTGTGAATATTCTTCTAGACCAATTTCTGCATTATACTTAATTGTATAACCATTCACATCCAATACATTTAAAGGTGATAGAAAATTCATCGCCTGTAATTTGATTATTTTAAAATTATAATATTGAGTTCACTATATCTATGGAAAAAGCGAAAAACTCCGATAGCATTTAAAATTAAAAATTTTCGGCGTTTTTAAAAAAAAATTATAACTGTTATAAAGAAAAGGAAAAAAAATATCTTACCAAAATGTCAACATTATATTCAGGAGCAGTACGGTCAGGATTCTCTCTTACAAATATTGATGCTGAAGTCGAAAATAGGCCTTCACATAAAAATAGCAGAAAAAGAGAAGTTGAAACTTTAAATGTTTTAAGTTCAAACATTTTGTTAGATGTTCCTTATACTGAGAGTAAAAAGACTATAGTGAATATTATTCAAATTTTCTCATTATATATATACGCCAAAAATCACTTATTTTCTAGTTAACACTATACAATTAGAGTGGGAATTTCTTAGAAATGGCCTAATATATATATATCAGGCGATAGCTTAAATATACATTAAAATCTAATAAGTAAATATATGCCTAAATGTGTGTTTCATACAGTGAAAGAAATAAACCGATTCAACAAAGCTGAAGTATAAATTTCTGTGGATGATTTCATATATTGACTAACACTAATTCACGTCATAAAGATTTCTTCATATTATGTTATGTTTATTTTTAATTGAATTTCTAATTAAGTATTTTGACTTTAAATAATTTGTTTATTATTCCTAATAATTTGTTGATAAAAAAGTATTTTACATTAACTTAATTTATGTCCCTATAGCTATTTCTCCACGAGTAACTATACTATATGTATATTTTTAATATCTAGTTATATTAATTAATTTATACTTATTTTAAATAAATTTTTTTTCTTAGTTCATTTGTATAAAACGGTAAAATTTTCACGCCAATAAATATATATATATATATATATATATATATATATATTTAATTTAATTTAACCGTCATAAATAATAGATCTTATCAAAACTGTAAAAACAAGTTTACTTTTCTAAAGAAATGGTAAAATTAATTTTTATGAATCATCACCTATTTCTCACTTAACAATAAAATCAGAGTGGGGATTTCGTAGAAATTAAAAGTGATTTAAACATTTCATGGTTAATGTTTTCTGATGATAGAAAAATATATATACATATATACAGGGTGTTCCAAAAGTATGGAAACTTGCAAATATCTCGAAAAATACGAATTTTTGTAAAAAATGTTCAAGACAAAAGTTGTTCCAAACAAAAAGATGTACATCTTTGAAACCAAAAAATTGGGCCCGGAGCCCAATGTTGGGCTCTACAATGAAAAAAGTGGTTTTCTTAAATGACACTACTAATTTTCAGTATCATATTCGTAATCCCCATGAAATTCTGCGTTCAGAAATGTGTTATAAGTGCCCAAAATATTGGGCCCAATCCAAGATATTGGGTATCCAAAATTTATCAAATTTTAAAAAATCGCATCTTGAAGGGATTTTGAGATCACAGGATTAGAAATTGAGCATAGAGGCCAATGTAAGATTCTGCAGCCCAATGTGAGGGCCTAATATTTTTTGGAATTTGTACCACAATTCTAAGCCCAGAATTTCATAACGATTACGAAATGGAAAGAAACTAATTTTTTTTACTGTAGGCCTCACATTGGACTGTGTGCGAAATTTGAAAAGTATCTTTGAATTTCTAATCCTGTGATCCCAAAAACTCCAAAAGATGCGATTTTATAAATTTATTTATTTATCAAAAAATGTCGAGCCCAATCCCAGACATTGGGCCCAATATTTTTTGACTTTTGTACTACAAGTCTAAACCCAGAATTTCATAACGATTCTGAAATGGATACTGAAAATTAATGGATTTTATTTAAGACAACTAATTTTTTTTACTGTGGGCCTCACATTGAGCAGCGGAATCTTACAATGGGCTCTAAGCCCAATTTGAAAATTAGCTTCCAATTTCTAATCCTGTGATCTCAAAATCCCTCCAAGATACGATTTTTTAAAATTTATTTATCTGTTGATAAATTTTGGATACCCAATATCTTGGATAGGGCCCAATATTTTGGGCCCTTATACCACATGTCTGAACGCAGAATTTCATGGGGATTACGAATTTGATACTGAAAATTAGTAGTGTCATTTAAGAAAACCACTTTTTTCATTGTAGAGACCAACATTGGGCTCCGGGCCCAAATTTTTGGTTTCAAAGATGTACATCTTTTTGTTTGGAACAACTTTTGTCTTGAACATTTTTTACAAAAATTCGTACTTTTCGAGATATTTGCAAGTTTCCATAATTTTGGGACACCCTGTATATAAATCGTACAATAAAAATATGTAAATACTTCAAATGTGCGTTCTATTTTATCAAGAAGAACGCAGTAAAAGTCAAGAACGACCAATTCTGATAAAAAAATATAAGGGCATATCTCTTGGAACTTTTATAACTTGTCAATAAAAAAAAAAAAAAAAAAAATTTTAAGCACAGTATTGAAACTCTGTATACATATAAACTTTAAAAACCAAGCTTTTCAATTATACAAGTGGACAGATAAAACGAGTTGTTTTCAAAAATTTATAAATATTTCAAATTGCGAAATATTTTTAACCTTTTACCAAAAAAAATATTCAACAGATGTTTGCTTTTTAGGATAAAAAAATAGTTGAACGAAATTGACTGAGGTGTTATAATTTTAAAAAGCATTTGAAGATTCGCGGATTTTCACGTTTTTCATGCACTTACAATTAGTGCAAATGTAAAAAAAAATTAGAATCGCCAACTTCGTACTTATCAATTTCTTTTTAAAAAATTTCGATTGATTACAATCGACTGTAATTATTGTCAAATATTTTTACATTTTCATAAAGTATCACTCGTATTAGGATCGTTTTCAAATTTTGTACACATGTGTTTTCATTTATTTAAATTATAATAGGTTTTTTGAATATATAAAAGCACATCAATTTATTATGTCTCAAAATAATTATAATAACTTGATAACTTTGATTCTTTGATAGAAAAATTTCTATATCGTAGGCGCAGTTATGAAAACTTGGTGTGAATTATTTTTGCTTCCTCGTGGAGGAAGCTTTGTAGTCTTTTCGTTTATAAAATTTTTAAAAATGGTAAAAACAAATTTTTCTCTATAGAAACATGTTATATGAGATTCTGATCAATTGTCCGGATATGTGTGTGTGTGTGTGTGTGTGTGGATAGTTTTTGTGAACACGATATCTTTAACAGGTTTTAATGGATATGAATAAAATTTCGTAGGCTTATTTAACACATTAATCTCTCAAAAATAACGAGAGGATTTTTAAAAATACCCCAAAAAAAAATTTTATCGTCTTTTTTCCAAAAATTTTTTTTTAATTGAAAAAATTTTTAAATCAAAAAATTTAAGGTAATAGGGTCAGCCGGGGTAAATCCGAACGCTAATTATTTCAGCTTAATTAAAATTTTTAAAAATAAGTTCGATATGAGAATTTATACCTCAGATCCTCTTCAAGAGATTCTAAGTATTATCCCATTTTTCGTTTCTTAATTAGCAACAGCATAAACAAAGATAACGAGTATTGCAAAAAAGATTGAAAATCAAAGATGACACTCTTTCAGTATTTTGTCTCGTATTTGAAGAAAAAGAAGCTAAAAATTTATTTTATTATTTATAATTGTTTGTTATGAATACTAGAACAGAAACTATTTTTCATTTTTGCCTTCTGTCAAATTTTATTAATAATATCAGACCGTTCGTATTTACCCAGGAAAATTGGAAAACCGGGGTAAATCCGAACGGTACTTTCAATAATTTTTTTTTACATCAGAGCCACACAAAATTGTTTTTATTTGATTACACTATTATTTTAACATTATAAAAGTACATAGAAAAAAGTTTTTCTTTCTATACGTATCCTCGTTAGTAATTAATAAGCAGAAACTTAATCTCTGTTCTCTCGAAGGAGTGTTTCAATTTTTTTGCCAAATGGTTTGTTGAAAAAAGTTTTTCAGGATCTTAATAAAATTTGGTATTCTACGGTTTTTGGGATCGCTAATTACCAATTTGAAGTCAGTTTTTCAAAATTCAAAATGGCGGACGAGAATTAAAAAATTCATTGGATTCGCTCGAAAATTGTTACTCGGAGGGTTTCAGGGTCGCTGATTACGAATTTGGAGTTAGCAAATTTGATCATTTTTAAAAATAAGTTTTAGGAAAGTCCGCCATTTTGAATTTAAAAAATTTGACTTTTATTTTTGTATTTACATTCAATCACTCCAAAATACTTTCTGTAGCAAGTTTTGCAAAAATCCGTTATGATTTGATAAAGTTATTGAAGGTTTTAATTGTGTAATGCATTTTAATTTTTAACCTGTTTGATTTTTGTATTTATATATGATGCATTATTACATAATAGGTTTATTATCGTATTTTTTTTGAGTTTTTATATAAGTTTAACAATTGCAATACTTTAAATTTATTTTCCCTAAGATTTTTCTGAAATACAGTGGTGTTCGTATTTACCCCGGTATTTTAGGAAAGTTGCAAAGTATCGAGGTAAATACGAACGCTAAGTTTCCTGCGATTGTAATTTATCAAAAATTTTTGCTACCCCATAAAATTGTTCTATGGAAGTAAAGTAACAACTTCATGCACCAGAATACCGGAAGTATTTTTTTTTTAAAGAAAAAACTTATGTTATTGTTGAAACTTACTAAAAGCGTTCGGATTTACCCCGGTTGACCCTATATAATATAATCCTCTTCCTTACGTCAAGATGAATCGATTGATATATTATATATATAAAGTATAGATTTGAGCGAAATTTAAAGAATTAATGAATGTTAAAAAATCAAAAATTCACATTATACTAAAAAATGTTGTGTTTATTTAAATTCATGTTTATATATAAAATAATTTTATTCCCTGCATTGAAACGAATTGGTTGGTATATATAAAGTATAGATTTGATTTAAAATTTGAGAATTAATAAAAATTGAAAAATCGAAAATTCATATTTTAGATAAAAAAAATTGTGTTTTTTTAAAATTCAAGTTAATAAATATAATAATTGTATTCCTTGCATTGAAACGAATCGATATGTATATATAAAGTATATGTTACACCCAAAATTAATTAAAATTTTCTTAATTTTTCAAAAAATTTAATTAATTTAAAACAGTTTTTAACTTGAAATTTTTTAAATCAATCAATTGAATTTGAGAAATTCATAGCTTCCTCCACGAGGAAGCAAATTTTTTGCTTCACACAATAAGGAAGCAAAATGTTTATGAAATAAACATAAAGGACTGCAAGTGGATTAACGAAAAATAAATGAAGGATATAAATATATATTAAATAATAAATATTATTATTAAATACTTAAAAATAATAATTCACGCCAAGTTTTCATAACTGCGCTTACGATAGAAATTTGTTTTAATCAAAAAATTGATTTCAATGAA